GGACAGCGGCTGCAGCAACATGGACAGCGGCGGGGAATGGGGCCGGGGTCTCCCCGCAGCCCCTCCTGGAGCCCAGCGGGAGGATGTGTTCCCTGCCTGTGCTGGGCAGTGCGGGGCATCTGGGGAGTTCTCTGTGAGGCACCTGGCCCCGTCTCTGCCCTCGCCAAAAGCACCGATTTGCAGAAGGAAGATCCCGTTTGCCTGCCTGCAATGCGCTTCTATAGGCACATGAAATGCAAGCTCTTTGAAAGCACGGAATGTTAAAACCCAACAGTAAAACTCCAGCAGAAGATCGTGGAAGACAGGGAGCAAGTCACCCTGCTGGCAGCAGAGAAGGCTACCAGATCTGACGCAGTGAGCTGCCGCAGGCAGCAGGACACGGCAGGCGCTGCAGAAGCCCGAGCGCACCAGAAAATGAAACCGAAGAGAGCAGAGGCTCAAAGCAGCAGGACTCGTGCGTCACTTCCCCTCCACCTGCTCCTCAGAAACACAAGGGTGCCAAAGCTACGGACAACTTAAGTACCTGGAACACAGGACAAGTAATAGCTGAAGGGCAGATGGATCTGCCAGCATCACATCACCTGGAGCTTTCAGGCCTACTGCTCCGTGCACAGCATGTGACAGCTTTCTAAACATGGGAGAACTCCGGAAAGCCTTACTCTCCTCCTGCTGGGAGACTACGTTTGTACCGGAACACGTTTTACAGGCCAGCAGGACTAGTTCAACTACAAGTGTTACTCCTGCCTGTTCCTGCAGGTGTGGCGATTCCTCTGTCCTCCAGGGCGACCCTGCCAACTTCACGGCATTACAAAACCAACACCGCAGTACACAGAGCACGACAAAGCTGCCTCTGCAGCTCTAGAGGTCACCACAAATCTTGAAGTCTTCAGAACAGCAGCTCAGAGCTGCAGACCCCGAGCAATCTGCGAGGCAAGGCCTATCCCCCACCCCGTCCCTGTCCCAGGGCGCCTGCTGTATTTGCTTTCTCCTCTTGCCATTCGAGACTCTTGGGTCCACATAATCAGAGGATTATAATCCAAGACAAAAGAGGCTAAGTCGCTGCTACTACCAGTGTATCTTCTGCCAGCTACTTTTAGCAGACGGATGCTGTTGAGATAACACTGCTGTGCTTCACCACAAGCACATTCACGGATCAGAGAGCACTTGTCAGCCTCACAACACTGCTGCCCATAAGATGCTGCTGCTTTGCTTTACTCCTCCACATTTTCTAGCTCTTTCAAAGTGTTTACTGTGACTCACTAGAGCTAACCTGCTGCAGCTGCATACACAGGTGATACAAACAGATGAACTGGGTCTGCCTGGCTCATCTCCACCACTGCAGGATTGTTCTCCCTGCCCAACAGAGTCCCAGCAGCACATTTTCCTTTTTGTCTTAAATTTTTCAGAGCCAATAAGGATGTCTGACACTTATTATAATACTGTGTTCTACATTATATATTTTGTAATAAATGTGAATACATGTTTGTTACACACCACTGTACTTCCAAAAGGCTAGAGAGACACCAGCCAGCCCAGAGCAGACACCCGTGCAACACAGACAGTACCCTGGGCTACACAGCCCCACATGAATACTCAACAGTGTCTCAGCATCCACTTCTGTGCCACAAAGGTTGCCATGTGTACTAGAGCAGTATGAGGTAGCTAATTAGCTACACTGCACTACTAACTACCAGCCAATAGTTCTTATTAAATATTAGCCACTTAGTGCCTCTTCGTCTCAAGAAAAGTGGCGGCTTCCACCCCACTGTTCCTTTTCCTAACAGATGCAGATGCAATACAGTAGAGAGATTTCTCTGTTAGCACGCTGTATTATGGAGGAATGACGACAGTCTCTCTCCTTCAGTTCAAAGGCAAAGTATACAACTTGATCCAACACTTTTTAACAATGCCATCATATTTATCCTCTCATAACCCCGGTAAAAGTACAATCAGACTCCAATGTAATTGTTAAAAAACTGATTTTGTGTTACTCAAGCAACTAGCCAACAACAACTACTTTCTCAAGGTGAAAATAGAAACATTTTAGTAAAGTCTGTTCATGGTATTTTTTTTACCCTTTCAACAATCTTTATTCTACCCCCCTTTTGCAAAAAAATATGCCAGTGTAAACTGGCAAACCACAGAAGGTGAAAACAGAAAAACTTCCACATTATTTCACATTACTATCAAACAGTAGCAAGTAAATACCAACTCACATCACTAAGGTCTTTTAATTTCTCCACCCACTTCGACAAGCAATGACACTGCTCTTTTATTCCTACATTAGACTTTCAGTTTTTCCATCTATCCACTACACAGTATTGGAAGATAACTCATCAATTCAGCTCAGTTAAAGAATTTTCAAATTAATCTAAACAGGAAATAGTTTCATTCTCAAAAAAAGAGCTTTTCGGTGCACTGCAAAGCCAGCTCTCCTAGATTTCTGTGGCTACCTGCATATAAAATTCTCCTGGCATACTTGAGGAAAAATGTGGAACATTTGACAAAAGTACTCCTCAGTGTGATTAAAGATAGCAAAAATCTGACCTGAAATCTGGAAGTCCTTGCTTCCGGAGACTGCAGCAAGCCTGCCTGAGCATACTGTTGCACCTGAGAATCTCAGCAGTACTCCTCACTTCAGGGATTTCATAGCAGAGAAGCATTAAGCAACTTCTGATCACCATTCCAGAAATAAGAGAAGGAAAAAAAATCAAATTTACCTCTATTGCTTCTCTTTGTGGCAGCAGAGCTACAGCCACGACTGTTTTTTCTTTTCCTTCAGGGGGAAGGCGGGGCAGGAGAAGAGGGAGCAAGGGAGAAGTAGCTGATTAAATTGTTCAGTCAGTTCCAGTCACCTGCAGACAATTCATATCAGGTCAGCTGGAGCTCATCAAGGAGCCCTGCAGTAAAAGGCTGCAAAAGCATGTCCAAAATTCCAGTCATTTAATATTCACCTAACTGGGAAAATGCTAGCTAGACCATTTTGCATCCTACGTCAACAAACACGGTTTGAAAGGGAGAATATGGGAAACTCTGCAAAGCTTTCTCATAAGCCTTTATATGAATCTGCTGTGGAATTGTGCCCTTTATAACGGGTGCCTCCATAACGCCTGCCACTTTGTCTCTCCCTTTGCTGCTTGATCTCTGCTAGCCCAGAGGAGGGAATCTGCCTCATCAGGTGTGGTTGTTCTTTGTACACGAACCACTCGGACCACACAGGGAAGCTGGGTGCCCTTATGTGACATGACAAACACACTGTGGTTTAAGGCTTACCAGTTCGTCTGCAAAGTGGTGTCCTACCGATCCTAGTTTGTCTCTGCTGGAGTCTGTGGGCAGAGTCCACGTCAGCCAGCTGAAGACATTGATGGGCTCTACCAGCAGATTCATCTCCTGGGACTGCAGGCAGGAAAACTTGTCCCAGCTCATGTCTTTGTAACAGGACGTATCCTCCAGCTGTCTCTTACTTCCACAAACTGTCTTCAGCCTGTCCTCTACACCTACTCCTGCCAAGCTGTGAGAGGGAGAAGCTCAGTAATTAAGAGACAGGACATTTTAAGGGGAGAGCACAACTTCTGCACCAATATATTAGTCATTAGCTGAAAGCTGCAGTGCTTCTGATGAACGGGAGGGTGCTGTGTTTCCAGTCAGACGTCATTAACTTGCGTGGAAGAGTCAGGCCTCTGCATTTCAATCATCTGTGACACAGTTTAGTGGTGAACATTTACAGGGCTCCTGTCATACTCTGAACTGTAAGCACTTCTGAAGCACCACTAAACCCCAGAACTCCCATCTGCCTATCATTAGCTCCTGAACAATCTTCTCCTGTAGAGAGCACAAAACTTCAGCGTGGCAGGGGGGGGAAAAAAGAATAAGATTCAGCCAATGTTTCATCATTCTTGAATAAAAGATAATGCGGTAGTGCAAAGAACTGAAGACATACACTGTGGTTATCACATAAAATTAAAAGCTTTTTAGTGTTTAAAATAGCATTTACACATAAGCAGCTATATATTAACTATACAGACACTTGGGTTTTAATACAATATCTACAAAAAAGAATTCAATTATGCAATAGACATTTAACAGGAACAGTGCAGTCCATGCTAGTAAGAGGTCACTCTTTGAGTAGAACCAATTCTAGAATAGGTGATAGTCTGGGTTTTCATTATTTAAAGTCACGTAACTTTGTTCTTCTACTGTACATAAAATTCTTTACATGTATTTCTAATCACTGATTAGAATTAATAATTTTAAGTCATTCTTATTACAATCCAGTTAAAACAAAAACAATTACACCAACTCATGAGCCATCAAGTCTCAAGATGGGACTGCCCATTTGAATAGAACAAAAATAATATCAAAAGTCAATGTCTGTGCATCATTGCTTGCCATCCAATATACCTTTGGATCAAGTGTCCAGGGGACTGTTACCTTTGAAAAGCAGATTTATTAACAGGAGGTAAAAGACAATTGCAGTGCTTTTAAGACTATTTGCCAAAACCCTTACTCCTCAGAGTTAGTATACTGGGTGAGTACGCTACCCCTGCAGATACTACCTCCTTTGGATAGGAGACGTCATCCCAAACCGTTTTCTCATCGTCTTCTATGGTCTTCCAAACATACCTGACAGTCCTTGCTCAAAGCTGTTGGCAGGTATGCGTGAACATTAAGCTCAGCTGCAGAGCACAGGCAGGTGGCGAGGGTCCCAGTTCCAGAATAAAACCGGCAGCTACTTACGGCTCCTGTTACGAGGTTATGTCAATGCCCTATGCAGCAAACCCACAACTTCTCACCGTAGGCAGAGGCACAGGTCACGCATTCCAGAGCCCAGCCAGTGCCAGTTACTTGACATTAAAAATGAGAGAAAAAATTCAGGCCCTGGTGAGAGAAACAGACAGCTCTGCAGGACTCCAGCCTTCAAACTTCTGCCCCCCGGCACAGCACTGCCCATCGTCAGTCGCTTCGCTGGCATCAGCGGCACCTCTTTCCGCAGGCAGTGCTGCACCCAACAGGAGACACTTGCACAGCTGGCCCCCAGGCCCCCCTGCTGCAAAGACACATGCGGGTGCACTGAAAGCCAACGATGGGATCTGGGAAATGTCCCATCTTCGTTCACTTCTGAAAATTCAGAGCCAGCCATGTTTCAGGCCTAACTTCCCACGCGCTCCAGCCAGCCTCTGCACCTCACTGCAAGGCAGGGAAATGAAGCTTTCGTCTTAGACACAGCGGCCACTACGTATTGCACTGTTCACAGAAGGGTCCATTACATTCTCCTGCTGCTCTTTGCAGGCAGCAGGTTCTGCATGCTCTGCAGCATGGACCGACCAGCTCACCGGGCAGCACGTTCAGAGCACTCCTGCTCTGCCTGAAACGGACGCCTGTCTGTGGGTGAAGCGAGCTCAGGCTGCACTTGGCAGCAGGCAAACGCTTTCCCACTCCGATGCTACGGACTGCCAGCCTCCTTCCAGGCACCCACAAACACGCAAGTATCTAACGCAGTCGTTTCCACATAGCAGCACAGACCAGTGAGACACAGAACAGTTTTGGCCAACAGCGTAACAACAGGACAACAAACCCCAGCAGGTGTGTAAGCTGCAACTCTGGAAAAGACATCAGGAAATCAAACACGTTTCGTCCATGGGTGAAAGCTCAGCCCCCAGATTTAATCCCTTTTGGAAATACCTGATTAAAATGACAGTCTTTTCCTCCAGCTCTGCAAGTTCTGCCTTAAGACAAAGTGGGCCAGAAAAATCGTAATATGTGAAGATCAGAAAAGTTAAAATCAATTTAAAAGCAGAACCAGTAGTGATTGTCAGTAAAGTCACAGACTCCTTAACAGTGTCTCCTGGAGACACAGCAGAATTACAGAATTATTTTACCCTGATTTCTTTCATTGCTTTAAATGTCAACCTTTCCAAACAGTTTACTGAGTTTAGTTCGCATCTCTGCTGCGTTACTGGGAGGAGGAAAGGAAAAGAAAGGATACTGTTGCACAGTCCAGCTTTAGGTAGTGCCGTTCTTTTGAACAAGCCATCACCAACCTTGCAGTCTATGCTAGCCCATCAGATGGATTACGATGAAAGCACCACTTTCAGAAACGTTCTGTAGCTTTTTAGGAGATTTTTGTGAAGAAAACTGTCCAAAACCACCCAGCTAGTTCAGAAGCCCAGTAACTGGAGCACCTACTCTGAGTGAGACACAGCTTCCTAAGCGCCTAGCTCCCTTCTGGGTGAGAGACTTCAGTCTCCAATTAACACAGACATTGGAAAACGTTCCTCTGACTGGTGTAAAAGGGATGTGTTTACACACAGACCTGTAATAAGAAAAGAAGTAGTGAAAAATCTACCAGAATGAACAACATAGAAAATGGACAGTTGGAAAAGCAATTTTTCAGGGTGACAATGGAACGTGAAACTACAGGTATGTAGTGAGAAAGACGTGTTCTCCTCTGACATTCATCTCGGATATTCACGCTACCCATAAAGCATGGAACATAACAAAAAGAAGCTTCTTACCAGGGAAGAAAATTCTTATATACAGTAAAGACTGTCTTCAAAGCACCTGTCCTAAAGCCTGCCAGAAGCAGGCATCTCACAAAAGAGGACTGAACTGAGGCATGGCCCCATGGTCAAATGCCACCAAGTGACTGCAGCTTAGCACGTGCTTCCCATTAAATCAGCCACCGTATCCGAGTGCGGGTGTGCTCTTACCACGCCCTCATTCAGCTACTTTAAAAAAAGCTTCTTAAACGTCAGTGAAGGTTCCTGAACATCTTTTATCAAGCGTCCACAGCCTTAGAGCGAAAAACAGGCAGTAATGAAATCTTGGGGATATACAGCAGCAGTTGCTTAAGTCAAAGCTCCCCAGCAGGAGCCTCAGCATGGGTCTCGCTCTGTGTCAGGTATAAAGAGTCGCTCATTGTACCATTGATGAGCTGCTCTCGAAACACCCTCTCACCTCTCCGCTAACAGCTAGCCCCCATCTGTGCTCAGAACATGTTCCCTTGGGACACACTACGATCGGGACAAGACACCTCCAGGTTTCTATTTCAAAAAAAAGAGAAAGATCCTGCTCAGAAATTAACAACGGAGGAAGAGGGGATCAAAATGAACAGCCACGTCCCGGTGGGAGCCAGGATTTACCTACGTCTCTGCTAGAATGGGATAAATATCCGCTTCAAAAGGGAAAAGCTGCAGCTACGGTAACAGAGTTGCATAGCAGCAATTGTCCTATTTCTGTGGAAACAACTTGTAAAACCTGTAAGCACGTGAGCGTTATAACCAGAAGAAACCAGCACATCTGTCAGCAGGGACGTGACCGAAATGCCCGGGAACGGACTGCAGCTACAAAGTCGCTATCATGGCACTAAATGAAATAACTTTACAAGTTCTGCACAATGCACCCATACAGCAGCAAGACTCCAGCACTCCCCTGACAGAGTAATATCTAAAAGAAAAAAAAAAAAGAGAAAAAAAGATTGATCCGGTCCCCCGGCGGCTGCCAGCTCTGCTTAGAGCGCTGCCGGATGCACCCGAGGACCAGCACCACGCGGCAGTACCCCAGATACCAGCCACGGGTCCTTTCTTCCTCGTGAGAGAAAAAGCAGGGAAACATAAAAGTGCTACTATGCATTCTTGGAAATTCAGACGTCATGTGAAGTAACAGTCCTTGAATCAGCCAAAAAGATAACACTGATTGCACTGAAGTAGGTGCCACGATTACCAAAGCTCATTAAGATGTGAATATACACCAGCCATTCACAATCAAAAACAAGCAGGGAAAAGATAAAA